TTATTGTATCTGCAGTGAACCTTGAGTTTCCCCTCTTAGACTGTTGTGTTATCGCCCTTGCTGTTAGTTGTTAGGAATGACATAATGCTCGTGGTGGCAGGTCAACACCGTGTTTATGACGGACATAAGGCTGGTGCACAGTATGAAACGGCGTGCTTTTGGGCTCAGGCGTTTGAGAGTTTGCAGGCTGTAGCAGAATGATTTCTGTTGAATCATTGCTATGTTGAGGGCTTTACGATGGATGTTATGTCGTTTTTATGACTTTTGTGATTAGGAGTCATGACAGGCACTGTAATTATGATGTTTTGTGTGGGCCCGGCTCCTCTTGAAATCATGGCAAAACTCTCTTCCAGCATTAAATTCTCCACAGCAGCTTTGAACGCTATTCACGGCAGCATAAAGTTATGATACAGCATCGTGCCAGAATTATATTGCAGTAATGTAGGTTCATGGCATCATATTTCTCCTCCATTTACCCAGAAGTAAGATTTTATATGCACTTTCTTGTACGCCGTAGAAGTTGATTGTTTTCATGCAGATGCAGTTAAGGAGATATAGTGATGCAGACGCGCTGTCGGGTGGAGATGCATTTGAAATAGAAAGCCTATTGAACAGATTGTGTTTAAAGTCTATTAAATAGATGCCAGATGCAACTTTCTACTTCAGTACCTTTATTTCACCATTATTATAATATTAATGCTCATAAGCTCTTTACCATTTATCAGCTGCTGTTTTTACTTTGTAATGATCTTGGATTCCGTAATTATTTTAATTAAATGCTAATTTACTAGCTGGCCGTTTAGATATTTAGTGTTTGTATTGTACAGAAATCATGCAGTTCTAAATTTGTGCCTAGAATAATTTTTAAAATAATCAAAGAAAAAAAGCTTTATCGATCCCGACATCATGACATGGTGTTGGTATATTTCCCCTAGCCCTATGGCAATATACTGCCTAATAAAAATCGCTGCATACCTTTTAATCAATACTGTATACATTTTTCATGATTTTTCTATTTATAATTAACTTGGGCTATGCTGCAATGAAACTATGCAGGTTTAGTTTGACAAAGTCTTTCACGCAACTCTGTGCAATGTGTGAAAAAGTTTTCCATGCTTGGCTAAAAATATTTGCTAGACACTTTGATGCTTGATGATTTCATCAGCTAAATTTGCACCCTATTTTTACTATAGAAGAGTTTTTAGATGAAAAGTAGATTTACGGATACTTTATATGTCAGTCGTGTGTCCTTTCATCATTATCTTAATCATTACCATTGTGTGTTGTGTTTACGTATATTTTATTTACACATTCTATTCTTACATTCTGCTTTTAAAAACGTACTTTGACTATAAAGATTTGAGTTATATTGTTTCGAGATATTGGTGCTAATGAAAGGGAATGAAACCGGCATGTTGAGTTTAAAGTGGAGGAAATTAATTGATTGATTAAACAGGATTATGAAAGTACTCGAAAGGAGTTAATGTCTGTCCAACCTCTCACTTACCTTGTGTCACTGCGTACTCTGGTGTTGCAGTACATGTTGATTCTCCTTGTAAAGAAGTGGGAATGTTTTAAGGAGCCTGGTATTCTTTCCCAGAAGATTGCACACTACACTACATGTATCCTCCATAGTCCTTGTTTGTGGTTGTAATCTGACTTTATGTTTTAGGGAAGTTATTCTTTTGTTATCCCACTGAGAGTTTAAGGGACGAGTGCTCTTCATCGGGACACGTCTCCGGTTGCAATAAAGCTCCAGTGGTTATGGTTTGTTTTGAAGTTTTGTGTGTGAAGGTTATCCCACATGTACATCGCTGTGTATTTTCTTATCAGTCATGTACCGGGGTTTGGGTGGGGTTACGTATAATAAAGAGGTTTATGTATCCATTATCGTGTCTAATGTGTCTTTTTCTGGCCAAAGATCATAGCAATATTTGGATCCTCACATGACATTTCACTGGTAATTAACTATGCCATTTCTTTTCACACAGCTATATAACCTATATTCCCCTTTGGCTCATTGCCTGTTTCAGATATATTTCTCATTCTGGAATTTCTCTCCATTCACCTTTGGCTCTCCCTCACTCTCCCCTCAGGCAAGAGCTCCTCATCGTCTTCATCCTTGTGCGTGAACACTCCTCCGGCACCACACTCCCTCCATCTTAAGTCTGGGGTGACGATAGCTAATTATAAAATCAATGATGCCGGGCTGCCTAGTTTACAGCCCCCTAAAACCTTAACTGGGAAATCACTGTGGGATTGATGACTCCCTCACTCTTTATCTCTTTTAATTAGAAATGTAAAAGATATGAAGACCCAGAGGCCAGAACACATCTCCGAGTTTTTATGACTCTGACACCCGCCTTCCACAGCTCTCGCTTCCCTTTCCCAATTCACTCCTTCCTCTACCTGGCCTTGTTTATTCCCTCCTCCTCCCTTCTGTCCCACCCTCCATTCACACTCTTGTCACAGATACCTTTACCCGTTTCTTCATCACGTTCTCCATTACCCTTCCTTTAAGATCGCCCGCCTCCCTTTCTGTTCGCACATTGAAAGGTGTTATAATTGATGGTCTTTGCACTTGAAAACGTTTGTCACCTTCCCTTCACCTCTTCTTTCTTCCCTTGACTGATTCCCAAGCCTCCATGGATTTGCTGCATATGTAACACATGAGGAAGATGTCCTTTTTGTCCGTTCTGACCCAGGTAGGGGACAAATAATGTGCTGTGTGGCCCCACTTCCAACTCCATGCATCCTGCACATGACACGTACGCCTCTCTGTCTCGTATATAGCTTTAGGTCCACGTAGAAAGACCCCACAGGTTTTTTTTTTATCACAGCAAACCCAGGGCACATGCACCTCCACTCTCTGCTTTTATCACACCCTGAGCCCAGGCTCTCCCCCCCTAACTGCTGCCAGGAGCACTTGGGTTCAGTGAGCTTTATCCTCCCGATCACTCTCTGAGGAGCGAACCTCTCCTGCTCCATTATCTCTCCTGCGTGTTGACAAAGGTACCGCTGCAGTTTGCTTATGTTCAGAGCAAACTCAGCAAATGTGCTCTCTCTATGTTTAAATATTCAAATGAAACTATTTGGTATGCCACACTCATGACCTACTTCATAGATTCTTTACTATTTTATTTGAATAATTGATGTCCTGAGGCTACAAGTATATTACATGAGAGATTTTTACCCTTTTATTTATTCATTCAACAGTTATACCTTCTTTTCCAGAGGCCTTTCATTACATATTTTCATTTTTTTTTTAAGTTCTAGGGAATAAGACTTCCTTACTCATGTAATTGGTTAATCCAGAATCATTGATGTGGAAGAGTGAGTATATAGAAATCTGGCCTGGCTCCTTTAAATTCCCTCAAGCACACCCAAACCCTCCCTTGGGTTCCCATGGCAACACCGTCCAGGAGCTCAGTATATGGGGCCATTTGATTGTTCCTTGTAAAATAGTGTATAATGTATGGACCTTATTTTAATTCCAGTCTGCCGTTATTGATCTGTCTTTAATGATAGTTAATTAAAGCAATCATATAATTGATAGATTCTCATCTCTGTGTATCACCCTCCTCTGATTCTCTCTCTCTATTCATAAAATCAAGGTGAGGCAAAGTATCCCACACTGATTCGTGTGATGAAGAAAAAAAAGAAGCTGTTCAGTATCAGTGGTCTTTTACAGAGAGGGTTCCTGTTCTTTATCAGGATGCCAGGAGAGCTGCTCTTATCAGTGACTGATGCACTTGTGGTAATAAATGTTGGGACAAACGTATAACTCTAGATTTGTTGTGACATTTATAAGGAAATTGCTTATTTTATTAATGTGCTTGTTTTAAATGAGTTAACTTTGAGTTGAGTTACCAAACTCAATTCAGTTTTGGATCTCTTTTCTTTGAGATCTAATATGGCATGAGTCCAATACATATTGCGGCCATGTTTGACCATGAACATGTAAGTGTTTATCTGGAAGCATCACTTTCATTTTCCTTAACAGAAGTTCAATATAGACATGACTAATATCTTGGGTTTATCTAACGATTTTCCAAAATATCAATTCATCTGCCAGCTATCTTCTTGATTAATGGCTTAGTCTATGAAACATAATTAATTGTGGAAACTCAGTTGCACAGTAGGAGAGTATCTTCAAATCTCTTATCTAAAAGTCGAAAAACAATATATATTACCTTTACAATAAGATGGAAAGAAAACATAATTTCTACTTGAAAATTAATTTTTAATTGACAACTTGTGTGCTATTTTTCATTCCTTTTCATGTTTCTTTAAATGAGATACAATAATTATATCTGATCTTTTTGTTTTCATTTGTTGTGTCGTATAAGGATTTTCTGATTAGTCCACCTTTTCTCAGTTCTATAAATAAATCAAAACAGAATGATTTACATTGAAATTGAAAAACTATATGTTCTTTACCTCCTATAGTTTACCTCCAACTGCAGAGTGAACAGACCTTTATCTGATGTCCTTGTTCAGCAGCAGGCTGTAATTTATTGGCCTCTGCACCCACATCCCCCCGTGACCCATCAGGCCCTGCTTTCATCCTGCATGCACGGTGAACACTGCTGCATGCAGAGCTCCCTGCAGTCATGGTGCAAGAGCTCCCTCTACTGATACATCTGGTACTGCATGGTTATACTGACTCAAAGCTACTAATTTACTGTGATTGCATTCATATCACCTGGTTAAATAAAGGCTACATATTTGTTCCCTTGCATGAGTGACAATTCTGGTGTCACTTCTGATGTAACAGATTATTTTAATGCATGAAAATAGACTACACTTTACTTACAACCAACAATAAAACGTGATGATTAAGGTTGCATAATCTGGATGCTTCAATGCGTGCATCAGAAAACTCTATGTATGTTTATGAGCTATGAAATATTATATATGCATTATAATGCACTTTGATTACCCTCTTATAAACAATGTTACCAATATTTCTGCAGAGAAATGTAATTAACAAAGTCCAGTAATCTCGCAAAAGTAGTTTATTGTGCCTTACTGTTTATATGGCTTTTCTTTGTATGACAAGAGTTGACATAAACAGAGGGTAGACAACACCTTGGCCATGTTGAAAAACAAAAAACATGAAACAACATCATCTCAATGTTCTGCCTGAATTACCATCATTGACATCATGACAGGTTAGCAGAGAGAGAGAGAGAGAGAAAGAGAGAGAGAGAGAGGAGAGAGAGAGGAGAGAGAGAGAGAGAGAGAGAGAGAGAGAGAGAGAGAGAGGAGAGAGAGAGAGAGAGAAGAGAGAGAAAAGGGATGAGGTCATCACAAAAGATCTTCTGTGGGACAGCACCGTGCTGAAGACATTCACACAATGACTCACAACATGTTAAAGCATTCACACACGCACGCACGCAGACATACACACACTGAGGAGACCTGCACATATTCAGAAAATGGGATCTCTCACTGCTACAGAAAGAATGTTCATATTGCTTCAAAGAGAGACAGAAAAAACCCTCTGCGCTGTAAAGCAGCCAAGCTCCCACAGCTGATCGCCTACTGAGACATTTTGGCAATAAAGAAAGGATACATGAGAACTCGTAATCCTCCATAGCTTCTTTAAAAAGAGTTGACGATATACACAAGAAGACAAGATGATATAATGGCTTTTGGGATGAGAAGGCAGTTTGTTTGCATGGAAGCCAGCGCGAGCACCGGCGGGGCAGTGATGATGACCATGATGATTCGTCCCCCTCTGGGAGAGTCACGCTGGCATCCATGCTGTTGCTCAGACTAGTCACCTTCAATGTAATGAGGGGTTGAGCTGATCAAAACAGAGTCAAGAATACACACATAAATATTGCCTTTTTCTAGCTTGCTGAAAGCAGCTAGGGTTTGGTCCTTACTGAAAAGCCCTGAGTCTGATTCCAAAATGTCTTCCATAAAGATTCCTGCTTTTTTTGTCTTGCATATGTTTTTGTTCGTTGTGTTGATGCATGATGTTGCTACTGGATGTTTTTTTCTCCGTGCTGTAAGTGTGCATTCTTCTATTGACATCATTGGGGAGTGCTCTAAGTTTGATTGTATTCTGTGTGTTGATGTTGTCATCAGTTTGGACATGCTAATGGAAATATTGTAAGCTCACAGACAGTTCACTCTCAGTGGACAGGATGTGCCTTTCATTGAATTGAGGCTCACAAAAGTGCTACATATACGGTCTAATGTAAACCTCTGATGATGCCAGGTCGGCGCATCTGCTACAGCTGAGGGTAGAGCCAACGGAGTGTGTGTATGCTTGTGTGTGTGTGTGATATCAGGGTGTGTTAGTGCATGTTTGAATGAGCGTGCTGCTGTGAGGATTGCTGGATCAAGGCTGGTGTCCCTGCCAGTACTCAAACTCATGCTCCAAAGATGACTTTTCCTAACTTTGGCACAAAATTATTTCAGCATTGACAGCACAAGTCGGCTACAATGAGAGCTTAATATAATAATGCCAATTCCCTGATAACAGAAACTGATTAAGTCGCTGCAAAATAACAATAGTCCTCTGGGTTGATTATCATTGACATCCACATTGAGCCATAGTGCCCCCAAAAGCCCCAGCTAAGCATATGTAGCTGATGAGGAAGACCCAGCCAGTTCAGATTACCCTTCTTTCCTTAAGAATATCTTCTCAGGAAAGCTCTTCAAAGAAAACAATGTCTAAAAGGATTCATATATAAAAAACCAAATAACAAACAAAGGCAAAAATATAATGGTATATAGATATGTATGGACTTATTCATAAATTGAAACAAATAAGAAAAGTAAAACTGAAAACAATATTCAAAAGCAATAACCACAAAAACAAAGGTTAGCATACTCGATTTGGTTTTGCCCTGTACTCTTGTTGTCTTTTCAGAAATGTGCTCGTTGTAATCCATTGGAATCAACTGCTCAGTTCTGGTGTCTGGTTTGGCCGTTCCCCTATTCAGATACAAACTACAATAGTGGGAAAAAAACGGCGTTAAGCTTTCTCAAAGAGATTCTGTTCTTATTGTCACGTTAACTTCCCTCTCGGCCAGGAGTTCATATGGTCTACTGTCATCTCTCCTTTGCTTTATTTTCTGTAGTTCAGTTGTCATGGACCATGAGGCCTGAGTTAGAAGTGTCTGTACACATAAGGCTCTGCTGTGCTCCGCTGAGGAGGACACAGTGATGTGCAGTAAGGAGAGACAGGGGGAGGGCCAGCATTTTGTTGAGGTGGAGAGTAGGTGAGGTCGTGTTGTATGTCTCTATGTATGTTTGTGTTTTAACCTGTATGTGCATGTGTATATGTATGAAATGCTTGGTTCACTGCGCCCTCCCAACAAGGCCTTTCCTCGCCCCATCGATGGCATCCAGAACCCCCCAGGGCTCCCCATCACTGTCCGAGCCCCTGTCTCGATCTTCATCGTCATCATTGTCTTCGTCTTCCTCCTCCGGCGATGGCTCGCTGCCGTTCTCTGTGGCCCAGCTGTCGTCCTCATCCTCGACCTCCTGCTTCACCTGGGCGAGCGGTGGAGGTGGTGGTGGCAGAGGAGGGGGGGGCGGGCTCTCTTTGCCCTCTGTTTGGTCTTCAAAAGCCTCTGGGTTCTCCAGCATCTCCCTGATCAGAGGAGGCATTGGCCCTGGGATCTCCATCTTCAGAGTGATGGCTCTCTCTGCACCTGAAACAAAGGGCATGGCGATGGTAGATCATAAGTATCTCGTCTTTAAAACAATGCTCCCCTGCTACAAAGAGGATACAAAATAAACACCAAAAGATTGAATGTGGTATGATTACGTTAGATTCCTTAAATCTTTCTAGGAATAACTCTCTTTAAACTTACCCTTAGTGCTGATGCCCCTGAGGTCGGTGATCTTCATCAGCATGCGGGGGAACATGTGGAGTTTGTTGGGGCGCCGGCGCCGGGCGTAGATCTTCAGAGCTTCAAGTAGAGGCTCTTGTAGCTTATCTACTTTCTGTGGCTCCTCTAGATCCATACGGTCTAACCAAGAGGGCAAACAAATAATATATTTATCAGAAAAGTACATTTTAGTAAAAAAAAATGTAATTCAACATTTTTACAAAATCACAAATCATGTCAAATCAGAGACATGAATGCTGAAACACAGATTTACTAAACCCACTTCCTCTTTATTGATATTTCCACTGTGTATGTGAATGCTGCAGTACCTCCACAGATGAGGCAGATGGCGCTGAGGAGGCCGGTCTCTGTGTCGTCCATCTCCAGGGGTAGAAGCTGGCCAGCGAAGGCAAACACCAGGTCTGTGAGAGGTCCGAAGCCAGCGTTGTGCATCTGGGTCCGGTTCAGAGTCAGGCCATCTGAGAAGGTCATAGTGTCCTGTTCTGGGGTGTAGCGTGTGCAGATTCTCAACATCTGTGAGCAAAACAAAAGGGAAAACAATGTAAGCATTTAGCAAAACATGACATAATGTTGATTTAAGGTTTTCTACAAATATCTTCAGTAGATAAACACATGTACTTGAGCTATATAACTAATCTCACACAGCACAGAATAGAGTAGCGAAGTCACGCCCATCTACTTCCGACCCATGGGACCTTATTTCGGAAAAATTATGTATTGAAGTCAATGGGGAGAGAAAGATCATCTTTCGATCTCGTTTGAATTGTGCCACGAATTACACATATGATGTTTGTCAATCTTACAAAATCATTTCCATGTCAAAAAAGTCACAGTTTGTTGTAAAACTGTTGGAATATAAGACTATGAAAAATACGCAACTAGAAAGACTACAAATCCCAGAATCCCGGTCCCGCATAGTGGCTCTTACGGAACCAACTAACTCCCCTTTTGTGTATGTACAGCTCTCAACACGCCCAGACTTGTAGTGATTTTCACCTGGTTTAATACTTTGCCTCATTCTGAAAGAAATAAGTGAAATGTGCCAACGTGACGGCCGTCTTGGTGTGTGGTGCGAGACGGGAGATGTAGTTCATTGAGCGGTTTCACACAAAAAAAAGTGTTACTTTACATTTTTATTTTTTTTGACTTGCAAAATTATCTTTTAAATTGACAAACATCATATGTATAATTCGTGGCACAATTCAAACGGGATCGAAAGATAATCTTTCTCTCTCCATTGAATTCAATACATACTTTTTTCGAAATAAGGTCCCATGGACGTCCCCCGGAAGGGGAGGGACTTCGCCACTCTATAAGGAGGCTTAGTTGTAAATTCTGCACTACCTGTTTTCACAACCAGAGGCCAGTATTACCTCATGTGTCAAGTTGTATTTGTAAGAAGTGAAGAGGACAAAAGGGAAAAACAAAGACCATAGCTTCTCACCAATATTTCCAGGCAGGCCGACTTCAGTAGAGTGATCTGGTCAGCGATGGTGAGGGTGGTGAAACCCGGCAGACGTTTGGCGAATTCCACAATCTTGATGATGCATTTGGTGGAGAGCTCACTGAACTTGTCCCATAAACCCAGATCCAGCTGGACACGGGTGTCTGAGCTAGAGTTCTGAACACACACAGAACAGTTTGTTGGTACAAAGGTGGTGTGCAACCCTGTTTGCATCAAGGATGAGCGTGTCCGAGCCCCACAACACATTTACATTTTACATCAATCAAGGAGAAAAAAAGCCATTTACATGTTACATCAATCATTCAGAGGCCACACAGATGGCTTAATGGGGAACTGAATTAGTTAAACCACCACTATGTTGGGAAAGCTACGGTAAATGTACATCTTTGCATGCAATCTGGGAGACCTTAGTGACGGCATAGCATGAAGAATGTTGCCACATTGTGTGTGTGTGTGTGTGTGTGTGTGTGTGTGTGTGTGTGTGTGTGTGTGTGTGTGTGTGTGTGTGTGTGTGTGTGTGTGTGTGTGTGTGTGTGTGTGTGTGTGTGTGTGTGTGTGTGTGTGTGTGTGTAACTTACGGTATGGTATTTGCCCAATTGGATAAGTGACGGGAAGGTTTCTTGGTGAGCTTTGCTGACTTTATTGACCAACTCCTCTAGCTCTCCGCTTAGCTCATAGCTCTCTGGAAGCACCAACTCCTCCTTCACATCCTTCTTCTTCTTGTTTCTGTCATTACGCACCGCTTTAAAAAAATAAAAACAAGATGCTACACAGATCAGTTACAGAAAGTTCCTCTTCTCTATCTGTGATCACATGAAAAAACATCCACAGCACTCATGCTCTGTGTCTTTCACCACTGTCAAGGACATTGTGCACGCTAGTGGAAACCAGGGCACGGAAACAGCGGAGGTTTGCTCTTAACAGTATTAACATATTTCCTTTAGCATGGGACGGACACTAGCAATCTCTTTCTTATCACCCGTTCTCTTCCTTGTCCATCTCTCTATCCACTTGACCGGTGCACATGAGCCAGTCTTCCATTCGCTCCCTCCTCTCCCTCCTCCTCCCATACTTTCCTTCCTCTCAGGATATCCAGTAATAGCAGAGGCACAATGTGATCCCGGTCTTAACACACATCCCACACAAACATTACACCCACATACTTGTCCCATGGGCTCTGTGAAGGGCAAGAAACTGCCACTTACACACACAAGGTCAAAGTAAAGAGGTCACAAAGTGGGTGTTGGATTAAACCCACTGCATGAATCCTGGCGCCATTAGTTTTATCAAAACCCCAAATCTTGTTTTGTGCTTGGTTGTCTTTATCAATGAAAGCAGTGTCTGTGCTGGCCGGAGGGGCGAGGTACTGTGGTGAAACATTATTTCGTAAAGTGATTAGTCATATGATTGGTACAGTGCCCAGCCTCGCCCGGATCACCACCCCTGGTAGGCTCATCATCTGCTCGCGTCTCTCTGCTGCATAGTTTCCCAGAGTCTCTGTCGCTGAACATTAATAAATCAATACGTTCACCCTGTGTGACCCAGGGCACATCCATACTTTGGTGGTATGTTTGGAACTGTTTGCCAATGTCTCCAAGGCATTCTGGTATATTATACTATGTCTTGATCTATGTCTGAAATATTTGAAGGCTGCCTTGTGATTTTTTGTGTGAGTAAATATCCATGTTTTGGAAGTGGGTCACTCCAGTGTTGGAGGGCTCACCTTCCTTGGACATGCCGACCTCAAAGCACTTCTGCAGCCTGCAGTACTGGCAGCGGTTGCGAGTGACCTTGTTAATCTGACAGTTCTTGTCTCGGTGGCAGGTGTACACCATGTTCTTCTGGATACTGCGACGAAAGAAACCCTGAAGCACCAGGAAGAGAGACACAAAAGGGGAGAGGGCAAAGAAAGCATGTTTTAGTCAAGTCATCAAATGTAGGATGTGACTTTTAGTTTGTCTTTCATAATCAATCTTCTTTCCTCTTTTTTTACAAGCTTGAATCAAGAAGAGAAAAGCATAATATTTTAACTCTTTGCGTTATTATGATTAGACCTGTTCACTTTATTGATTCCATTTTTCATACTACGATCTAACCCATGTTGTAGAAGTAGCTTGCCTATTAGGCTCCTTTATTCTCACCTTAAAGAAAAGGCAGGTAACTAAAAGTGATTGAAACCCAGCATTTTCCCCCCAAATGTATGATATGAATTCAGACAATGCAGAACTCAAAATGCTATGGCAGGTTCTTCTCACCTTGCAGCCCTCACAGGAGCTGACCCCGTAGTGGTACCCCGAGGACTTGTCCTGGCACACAAAGCAGGGCTTGTAGACACGAGGTGGGGGAGGTGGAGATGGAGAACTGGGTAACATCTCCTCTGAGCTGGTGCTCTGGGTCTCCACCGCTGTTGGAGAAGAAAAAAAAGATAGCGGAGCACATGAGCACATGATTTGTCACAAATCATTGTCCTACGGCTAGTCAGAAATGTCAAATGTCAAAACATGTAGCAGATGCGGGTAATCGAGACTTTTCAACTGTATTCAAACAGGACATGACAGCTCACAGCATTTGATTCTTCCATTTGAGTTGTGAGGCCAGCAGGAAATGCTGAGTATTGGTTGTGTTCAGTTTTCCTGGAGGTGGATTTAGATTTCTTTAGCTTTTCTCTCTGTGGGACAGAACTGATTACATAAGCGGTGAATAGATTATGAACAACACACAACTGTTTCTGCTTGCAGGCAGCAATTACCAGGAGCAGCATTCAGGTGACTGTTTGGTTAGATTATTGTTTCGTGTGACACAGACAAACAAAGGACGTATGACTGCCTGACAGCAGAGACAAAACTGATTTTTACAGCAGCAGCTCCTGATTGACAGCTTGTCTGATAAGGCCGGGTTACAGAATGAGCTGCTGCCAAGAGTCCAAGCTGGCTCTTCCTCATTCCACAGACTGACGGAAGCTCATGATGACATCTTGTACGCACAGTAGACAAATGTCAAACACACATGCGTGCAAAGCCCTCCTTCTACCTATCAAACTGGAACTGTGATGTCAGCGCAAACTTGAGTCACATGCTTGCTATGGTACATTAAACTTCACTTTATTCCTAACAGGAACACAAACAGGCTCTTTTGGACATTTAAGTGTGCTGTGTATGGATTCCATACTTCCCCTGAGAAACATAAGCTGCAGCACACACAGGACCAGACCCCTGGTCACACATGCTAGCCTGCAAAAGCTCACAGACACACATGTTGCTCGAGGTAAGTATGGAATCCATACGCTGCACACTTGAACATCCACTTACCCAACAGCACCTCTTTCAACTTTCACCCTTAGTTACCCTCAAACTTCAACCCCCAACTCTGCATCCCAGCACCCCCTGACACACAAACCCTATTTTTCTCTTGTTTCCTGGCCCTAAATTCCTCAGTGCAGCCCTGCCAGGTTTTAATAGAGGCCTATGCTCGTAAGGCGGCCTATAAAGGCGGTCCCATGGCTGGACTGGAGGCCCCAGCCCGGCTGGCCTACACTTTATTGGGACTCGGTCACCTTGGGCAGCTATTCACACCACCAGCTGTAGCTCCCAGCCCGTAAAAAAAAGCCAATCATAAAAAAAAAAACAGGGAGGCTCTAAAATTCTAACTTTTACTACCCCCACCTCCCCCCAGCACCTTCAATGGAAAGCACAGAGGGCTAGCCTAAACTTAACCTACACCCCTCCTCCTCCCCTCTCTCACACCCAAGGCTGAGGCAAAAACCACCAGCTTGGCTTTTTACAAGAGAGGGGAAACTTCAAAAAGAAGAAGAAGAAAAAATAGGGGGCATATAAAAAAGAGGCATTTGATAAAAAACAGAGAAAGGGGCAGAGGGGGAAAGGGGGGGGGAGGGGGACACAGTTGCTCTTGAGGGCAAGTCTTGTTCAAGACCAAGATGACCATTACTGCCATTTCCTTCTACAGCTGCTGCGACTGCCCAGCTACGGCATTTTTCATTTGTTGCCTGCTGCTCAAACATCTGTTTTTCATATGCATTTTTATATTTAACTATTCAGAATCCACATTCAAATTCCTGCTTTGAAAGCCTAACTTTGCTGGAGGCAAAGATGTTTTCCATTCGTTTTTTAGGAGCGATCTCAAAGCCAAATGTGCAAATCAATCTGAAACCTGAAGTTTACACCCGCTGAATGTTTCTACAGCAGTTCTCATATCTTCCTGGCCAGAATGTAACAAAGCAGCAGGGTCAGTGGGAGAGCAGAAACCCTCTGAACGTGCCATGAACCTCTGTGTTTATGCAATAATAACAGCGGCAAATGAGGCTCCAGAGCAAGCGCTGACAACCCCTTAGAAAAGGACAAACCATATGTGGCGTCAAGTAACCAACACTGACTGACACCGTCTAAATGGAGGAAGAAAGCTCGCCAAAGAGAGAATGGCCATCCCGAAGAAAACTCGGACAGCGGTGAGAGAGAAAATACATCAGGCTCCATCAACACGTTGAACCTGGTTCCTGCCAGAGAACATGACTCCTGTACCCGCCTCCCAGACCTCACCTCTTTCAGCCCGCTCCGTCCAAATCCCCCGCACCCCAGGGCGCCAGAGTGAGAGGGCCCATTCAGGCAGCCCCTTTCCCTAGTCTCCTCAACTCAGCTCATCACTGTTTAGAAAACAAAGCCCTGTGAAATGAGAGGCCCTCCTTATCAGTGCTCCGAGGCCTGGGGCACCATTTGCATGACAATCCGCCGGCCAAGGCCTGTGAGCCGATGACGGACAGATGAGAGGAGAGGAGTGGGATAGGTGGGTGGCTGCTGTTGTTGGGGGAGGAGAAAAGGAGAAGAGAGGCAACAAGGAGGGATAGTTGGGTTACCAGTAGCCACTGTTCGTTTCCTGCCCAGTATCAGTTTACTCCCTAATCCCCTTCTCTCAATGCTCTCTGTACACAAGTGGCCCAGCTGCACTGACCAGGCATAATCCCCCGGTCATATACACACGGATACTATTCAATGGCTACAAACTAGCAAACACACTCACATAACAATCTGCCCTCCCCTACATTACACTAAAGTGCTTCAGCGTGAGTGGGATGTGCAGTACATCATTCTCCACAACCTCATTAGATCTGAAATGTTACTGCACACGACAGAAATAGCTGTTTAGCTGAAGGTGACTTCAACTAGGTCAATTACATTTAATTCTAGGTCAGGTCAACTGGGCCAATTGACGTCCCTTTAGGTTCAACAGATACAGTACAATAAGAGAGAAAAAGAGTGAATAGGAAGAGATTATAAAAATAAAACACTAAAGCTGCCTGTTGTTCACTCAACTGGAAAAGGGAGTGTTCCTAATGTATGTGAGTAAAGGCCGTGACTATGTAGCTCGTGTTTTGTGTTGCAACACACTCCTTTTAACTGAGCAGCATATGACATTCTGGCAGGGTAACAAGTATTCTTTCACAATAGGCCTGCAGAATTTGTCTACGTGACTCGAGTGTGATTGAATCTTTAGAAGGACACTGTTCCAGAAGTCTAGTCTTAACATGTGGCAGTGAATGCACAGGCTGTGTGAGGACAGTGTGTGTTCAATATAGTACGTAAGGCTGAGACATTTCTGTGTTCATGTTGTGTGTGTAACTCCAGCCAGTGCCGCTTGGCCACTCTCTGAAGCCTCAATTTGATTTGCAAATTCAGGACTGTTCATGGTAGTTTGTATATTGAGCCTTACCCCATTAAAATATCTTCTTGTCTGCGTTTGTGTGCGTATTTTTTTTCCTGTTCATGTTAAGCTGCAAGCAGGGGCATGTGGGGCCTTTGTCTGTGTCTCTACCTTCATTAAACAGCCTGTAAAGCTTGCGTGTTCTTGTCAAATGCACTGAGCAGTAAAAGAGTGTGTGAGACTTGGAGGCAGTGTGTGAGAGAGGGGCACACAGTAGGCCTCACTGTGAAAAGAGGGGTGGGCACTGGGGCAGAAAGCAGGGGCAGAAGGGGAGCAGATTGAGAAAGGATGGTGAACAGTGGGCTGGAAGACTTGCTGGCACACTAGGAGGGGCCTTGGGGGGGTGCCTTTGGCCCTCTACCCCATGGCAGAGGCTGCAGCACTACAGGGAGCTGACTGAGTGACCAGCAACACACCGAAAGCTTTCTGTGAAGAACTGGGTTTCATGAAAGAGGAAAAGAAAGTACCACACCCTTGACAGTATTGCCAGCATGTTTCACTCTCCTTCTCTGTTTCTCTGCCCACGTCTTCCTCTGAGGCTTCTGTTACAAGGTCCCACACAACACGCTCGTTTCCTTCCTCTTGTCAGTACCAGTCTTTCCGGAGGATCTCCGTCACTGCTTTTGTGGCCACTTCTCGAAGTCCCTCGCTACTTCACCTTTCTTACGTATGCTGTAATTCCCCACAGGACGAGTGATACTGCTGCTCTGTTCAAGCACTGTTGCACACAGTTGAGTCACCTGCTTTTAGGTGGGAGGTCTATCAAGTCCCCATTGTGTTGAGTTACACAAGCACTCACAATGTAACCTGCCTACTACGGAGAAAGAAATGGTTTATATGGTGGGGAAGTCGAAAGCTGGGAGGAATGTGTGTGTGTGTGTGTGTGTGTGTGTGTGTGTGTGTGTGTGTGTGTGTGTGTTGACAAGGAGGGGGGATGCTTTCATTAAAAGGTGCTGAGCAGTAGCAACGCCTTTCAACAGCTGTCAGAAAGCTCATTACCTGGGCTCCTACAGACACACACACATTCACTCACACGCCTGTAAAGAGGCCCCGCTAAGCTGCCTTTAAAACAAGGTCTATGATAAAACTTGGCTGCCGACCAGGAGATTGCTCAGGTTTGAGCGGTGAAAACACAGGAGTAGTGAGAAACCAGACACACACACACACACACACACACACACACAACCCTCCAGGAATTGACACCTTTCTGTCAGAACCAGCAGAAAGCCATGAAACACAGAGAGAGATGGACACATGTGAACGCACATGCTGCAAACATATGATCCCAGGCCTGAGGGATATGTTGAGTAGAACATTTTGGCATGTGTTCATAGCTGCCACGAGTTCTAATGAAGAAAACTCTGGACTTTTGAGGGTGACACAACGTGACATGTCGCACAAACTCTTGCCAACACACACTTCGCACTTCTTCATCTATAGTTCCCCCCCGAAGAAAGCGTACAAACAGAGCAGAGCAGGAAAGGCAGCAGGTGGGATAAGCCTGTATCCTCAGGGCACATTTTAAAAAGTGGAATTACCCTTGCAGTCTGGTGGCGCTCTCAAAACACCCTTTCTTCTTTACAGCACCTCATAAAGGGCCTTTTGATATTTTCTTGATGGAGTTGGCCAAGCTAACATTTGGCAGCAAGCACCCCCCTTTTCCTGCACCACACAACCCTGTCAAGACACACA